GTGGAAATTCTGTGTATTACAAAAGTTGTATTGAGGAAGAATAAACTGGTTTAATCAAGAAAGGACTTGTATCACTGAAGTTCCTCAGAAATAATTTCTACCGGAAATTAACAAACAAGCAGATACGTAACAATATATTGTTGCGTCAGCGAGGTCACGTGACTAGCATCACGCCACCTCCTTCTAGAAATATCCTGTTTCTTCGTGAATTGTCGGGAGATTACTAGATTGGGGGTAGTCTGGTATATATAAGACCGGCCACGTAGTGAGTAATTGAACTGCAGTCAGAGAATGTGTAATTGAACTGAGTATTGTCGAGCACGTGAGACGTTCATTGAGAGTTATAGCGTTTGTTTTAAAGCGACTGTTGAAATTAAGTGTATCGTAAAGTTGTATTCGGAAAGAATAAACCAGTTTTATTTAAGAAAGGTTTGTTTTTGTTTGTCTGTTTGTTTTTAATTATGCACAAAGCTACACAAGGGCTATCTGTGCTCTGCCCACCACGGGTATCGAAACCCAGTTTCTAGCGTTGTAAGTTCGCAGACATACCGCTGTGCCACTGGGGGCAAATGGGCTATCAGTGCTCTGCCCACAACGGGTATCGAAACCCGGATTCTAGCGTTTCTTTCTTCTTTTTTTTTTTTAAGAAAGGACTTGTATCGCTAAAGTTTCGTTGGAACGAATTTACGGAAAATTAATTAACGAACGAACGAAGACGTAACAAAATCAAAAGTCTAGCCATATCATATACGGTTGAGTTTTTTCTCTTATAAGAGGATGTTAGATTTTAAGAAATACACCTTGCCATCAGCAAGGCACTTAGGTTCAAATACCAATATAACATTTTGCTTACCTTCAGCCCCCCCCCCCCAGTGGCACAGTGATATGCTTGGGGAGTTATACCGCTAAAAAACCGTGTTTCGATACCGTGATGAGCAGAGCACAGATAGCCATATGTGTAACTTTGTGCTTAACATTAATATCAACTTTAGCGTCAATAACCTAATATTCCCTTATATGATACTTTTTGTTATAGATTTCTGAATTCTTTGTTTTTGAATAAAATATTGTAGTGTTGCGTT